TATATTAATAATTTATTTATCTGTTTTCTTATCAAGATGTGTTTGTATTATTAATATACTTGGTTATATTATTTTCATATTTCTGTTATATTTTATTTTCTTCTTTTATATTATTAATATCTTCTTAATTAATACCTTTGATATATCTCATTGTAATTTCTTATTTTCTTCTTATCTTTCTCCAATGAATACATGATTTCTTTATTTTCTATTTTATTTTTAATTGTTTTTTAACTTCTTCTTTGATTTTTATTTTATTATTTTTAACTATAGAATTTCTTTATTTATATTATTTACACCTTATTCTTGTAATTATTTTATCATATCTAATTTGATTTTATTCAAACTTATTATCTTTTATCATATTTTTCATTTTCTCTTTATATTTTAAATATTTAATTTCTTTTATATATTCTTCTTTTTTTCTTCTTTATCAATATCTTCGTTATTTATTATTTTATATATCATTTTTAATATATGGGTTTATTCTTATTCTATTTATTTGAATATTTAAAATATTGTATAAAGTATTTTATTATTTTTGTTTGTTGATTGTTAATAATCTCAGTTATTGTAATTATGGTCAGGTTCTTTAATCATTTTGTATTTTATTGTTTCTTAATACACTTTCACTATCTAAACATGGTGTTCTCACATTTTTTAATTCTCCTCTTTTCTTTTCTATTAGTTATTTTCATTTCTTCTCATTTCTGTAATTCCTTTTACTTTTTCTTCTATTTATTCTGTTCAAACAATTCTTCTTGACATCTTCTTGTACAACCAGATTATCTATACTTATTATATTTTTCATTCATACTATTTAATTATTTCTTCATCTTTTTCTTCTATTTTATAATAACCTCCAATTTATATATTCTTTTTCATTTCTTTTATCTGTAGTATCTTCTTCATTTTCTATTTCCTTTGTTCATAATCTTTTCTTGACATTTCTTATTCTTATTTTTATAATCTTTATTGTCCATATATTTTTGATTAGTTTATGGTATCTTATTCATCATAGGATCAAATTGAATATTATTATTCAAAACAATATGTTTATATGATTTTATAGTATATTATTATTACCATTTAATTATTATTATATTTACAATATTTTTAAAAGATAAAGAAATACTTTTATATCATTAAAATGAGTCACTAATTAATTAATATTTATTTGAATTAATTCATTGTTCCAAATTGTTGCATAGCAAGTGTATAATAAAATCCTTTCAATTCTATTAATTCTTGATGTGTTCCTTGTTCTACAATCTTTCCTCTCATAATGACACATATTTTATCTGCATTTTGAATAGTTGATAATCTATGTGCAATAATAATTGTTGTTCTTCCTTTTGATGCTTTGTCAAGTGCTTCTTGTACTATTTTTTCACTTTCTGAATCAAGTGCTGATGTAGCTTCATCAAGAAGTAGAATAGATGGTTTTCTAATTAATGCACGTGCAATAGCAATTCTTTGTTTTTGTCCTCCTGATAATTGACTTCCTCTATCACCTACCATTGTATTATATCCTTCTGGCATTGTTGAAATGAAATCATGTGCATTTGCCATTTTAGCAGCAGTATAAATTTGTTCATTATTTACTTCAACACCTTTAGGAATACCTCTTTTAATATTATCAATAATACTTTCAGCAAATAATACTGGTTCTTGTCCAACTAATCCTATTTGATTTCTTAAGAACTGAATGTTTAAATCCTTTATATTATGTCCATCTAATAATACTTCCCCATTTGTTGGTTCATAAAATCTTTCAATTAATTGAATTGATGTTGATTTACCACATCCTGATACTCCAACTATTGCAATTGTTTTTCCTTGTTCTGCTTTAAATGAAATACCTTTTAATACTTCATTATCAACTCTTGTTGGATATCTGAAATGAACATTTTTGAATTCAATTTCACCTTTTATATCATTAATTATCTCACTATTTACTTCTTGTGATTCTATCTTAGGTATTCTATCAATAACATTATATGAATGTTTTGCTGCTTTCATTGATTTACCAATATTAGGTGTATATTCTCCATAACTTCCAACTCCTTGTGCAGTAAAAATAATTGATGACGATGCTTTCTGAAGTTTCATATAATTATCAATCAATTCTTGATAAAACATTTGACTTGTTTGTTTATAATTTAACTTCTTTGCTAAAAAATAAGTACCAAGATAAAATCCATATGCATCAACAACAAAATTTGATAAATTTGTAAGTGAATTCACTAAAGCAAGTAATGGTGCCCATTTAAAGATATTTCTATAAGGTTTTTTCAAATTTAATGAATAGGATTTTAAGAAGTGTTCTTCTCTTGTTAATGATTGAACTGTTTTCATAGATTCAACTACTTCAACAAGAGTAACTCCTGATTCTTCATATGCTTTTCTGC